CTTTGCCAAATAGTAGGTGAGTGTAGAAACGTACTCTATAGAGTCCTCCTGGTCATGTTTAGGTAGGGTTAGGAATTATTGAAGAGCAGGTGACCTTAAATCTGATTTCTTTCCAAAGCTCCAACTGTGGTAGAGAAGGTAGAGAATGAAAACTGCATACCTGCATGTTCCACTGAGCTGCCACTGAGTTTCCTGTTTGCATCGATCCAACTTCCTCTGCTTGTCTTTGCAGTGTAAATGTCTGTGGAGGACAGTGCTGCCATGGATGGAGTAAGACTCAGGGATCGCAGAGATGCACAAAGCGTAAGTTTTCACCAGATCCTTCTTCATTTGTTTTGCACCATTTGTTTTAGATCAACCAAAGCAAAACTGAATGGAAGACATTTTTGATGTGCAACTCAAAGAACACAATTCGTGTATTTGTACTCAAGAATTTGAAGAGGTGTAACTTTTTTTTGTAAGTGGGACAGATAAAAAATTACAATCTACAATTACAAAACACCGAAGTTACAATGCACAAATAGTTTTGCAACAATAGTTCTGGACCATTTAAAGGAAAACTGAGAATGTAAGAGGTTTTTGATTTGCAAAATTGTAGAACAGAATTTGTGTACTTGTTCTTAATTTTTTTTTTTTACAAAACATTACATGTAACATGAAATTGTCTAGCTATTAAACCTATTAGTTGCCATGAATTTTATAGAAGTTGCAGAAAAGGAAAAAGCAGACCAAATAAATATTTTGGACTTAGGACTCACTTTACTGATTATTTCCTACGAGAATCTTTGGAGTTGTTTATGTTTCCTAAAGAATTGCCTTAATAATAAGTTAATAATCTCTGCATTAGGGCAGGACAATATATCAATGTCCTTTCATTTAATATTGATGATGTGACTTTTAAACACATTTGCAATACGTATGTACATATGTTTAAATCAATATCTACATATTCTATGACTACAGCTTTTTTTCACTGATTTGGGTTCAAGGTTGTATTTGCTTTTGTTGTTTAAAGCCAAAATTTCCAAAATCTTAAGTTAGGGAAGTTTTATAAATGTGGCAAAGTAATTTTCAAAAGTTTTCACAGGCAGCTGTTCTTGGCTGGTTTTCTGGGGCTTTGATGTTTTTTATATCAAAGACTAAATGACATAATATTAACTTAAATTGAGGACTGTATCAGGAAATAAGTTTTGGCCATATTGTCTAGTCCTACCCTGTATGACTTGTTTCACCTATTCCCATTTTATCATCCTACAGCTGCTTTTCCAAGCAGGCTTAAGGCTGATTTATACTTCGAAACTAGGTCCCCTGCTTAGGTGTCGCAGTGAACAAAAAGCCGTCCCTGCCCCCTCCGCAAACACTCTGCTGCACCTCTCCCAAATTGTAGACCGCAGATAGTGACAGACAGGAGGCCGTCTTGTTTTGTTTTTATGACCTAAATTGCAGAAAACAACTCATGAAGATGGACCAGCTAGAAGATCGAGGTGCACAAGAACGCTGGGAACCTTTTTCCACCTGGATCTCCGCTCTTTTTCGCCTTCAGATCCCTCCGTTGTTGCACAAACTCATCCCCACTTCCTCGCATCCTCGGCCGTATCTAGACCCACAGCCTATAGCGCAGACCATGTGCTAGCTGTGGGCATAAATCAAAAATGTCTGTGTCAAGCTCACTGCGACATACTGCTGCAGGAGTATAACCAGCCCTTTAGAGCAGGATCAATACCTTTAACAACAGTATTGCATTAATTATGGCCTAATCAAAGCACAGACCTGAACCCAACATTAAGTCCGCCTAGTCTGTGTTATGATTTAACTAAGGTCTGACCCAAAAAGCAGAAAAACAATTACAGAGAGAAACCAGTGGAAATTTTTAACAGGTTTATTGAGGGGATTGTGGTGAATCCAGTGTAGCTCTGAACACTGCTCAACCGGAACTGGAAAGTGAGGGGAAGACACTGCGGTTAGTTCAGGCTCAGTGGGAATCTTGATTCTCGAACTTGAAGAGGAGAAATAGATTCTTGACTCATGTTTCCAGATAAGTGGTTGACTCTTAACTCTAGTCGGTGTTGGGGTGTTCCAGTGTTTGTCTCATTCGGTGGAGGGCAGACAGGGTTTACCCAGAATATGTTTGTAGGTGAACAGAGAAACTGACTGCCACTTAGATTTCCTGCGGTACTTGAACGGACTGTGGTGCAGATGAATCCCTTGCTCAGTGCGAAGCTCAAACGATCTTTTGGAGGAAAGTAGATCCAAACCACCAGTTTGAATCTTCAGCTCAGTTTGAAGCTCAGTTGATCCTTCCAGGGAGAGAAGGTCCGAAACATCCAGTTTGCAGGATGACTTCCTGCCAAGAGGCAAAGAAAAAATAACAAGGTTAAGACTAAGGTTGACAAAAACTCAGTTTGACTCAGCAAAACTCAGCTTGGCTAGAGTACCCAAAACTGGCAAACACTCTGGCGTCGAGGTAGTGGCAGTCAGCAGCTTAAGAGCACTTCGTTAACAAGGTAACCCTCCGCAGGTGTGTGAGGAGGCGAACCAGGACCAGGCTCCTCCTGGTGGAGGAAGGAAGACAAACACAAAAACACAAACCACACTGACAGGAATCCTAACAGTCTGTCTACGCCTCATCTGCTTTGCAAAAAGGACTAGGCAAAGATTTTAATTTTAATGGTGGTGCTCGTCTTTACACGAGTAAATAAAGTGAATGTTATTTGTCATTTATTAACGGGGTGGGATTGTTGTGGCGGAAGGTTCTCAAGCTTTTTGATTGTGGCCGGTTTCTCTCCCTCATTTTTACCAACATGTGGACTTTGCAACTCGGGCTGAAAACATTTTAGACCTGGTTTACTCTAATATCAAAGATGCCCTCAGACTAGCCCCCTGCCCCCACCTCTGGTCATCAGATCATCTCTCTGTCATGTTTATTCCTGCATATAAGCCCCGGCTGATCAGGGCTAAACCGACAGTTAAAGAGGTCAGAGTGTGGTGTGGGGGGGCCATGGAGACACTCCAAGACTGTTTTGAATGCTCTGACTGGAACATCTTCAAGGCTGCAGAAACATATGACAACTTATTGAATATTGATAAGTATGTAATGATTGAGTCAGCCTACATCAACAAATGCATTGAGGACGCCAGCATCTAAAATGAAATCAACCCCCGGGCCAGCCAACCACCCTGGATAAATGGAGAGGTTCAGGTTACTATCTTCCTACAGGCGATCGACTTGAAGGCACAAACTAAACTGTTCATAATTTATCATTTATGGTACGCCTGCATTCATAACATGTAGGTGAATCACTATCATTAAAAAGCATTAAATTAGAGTTACTCATCCCTGTATAAACTCTGTTTTAACTCCACCTTGTTTTTCATCATTTATTGTGATTTTTTTGTCATATCTTAAAAATCACCTAATTTTGTGGCCTCATTAGAGTAAAGAATAGCTCTATGCATATATTTGTAATGCAAGTGTTAGCTGATGTGAAATAAGCTTTTCCTACAACCAGGACTGTGATGAGACAGAAATTCTCTACAGGCTCCCTTTTTGGGGGATTTATCTGAGCTCCTGGGGGCCGACAGTGACTCAGATAATAAGGAATTCAATACCTCATATACTGATGTCATATTTTTCCCCTTCTACCTACTTTGAATTCAGCAAACATCTGTCCTCACTGCATGGAAGGTGAAACAGGCTTTCAAAGTCTGAGCATCTTCGTTTTTTCTAACAGGCTTTTTTAACAAGCTCTTCTACCAAGGCAATGGCATCACAAGGCTCGGATGGTTTGATGTATTTTCTGTCCTAAGCACAAGAGGAAATTACTTTCACCCCCGTCACCAAGCAGAGGCTGCACTCAGTCAGAGAGACGAGAAAAACTGAAGCCCAAAACAAACACGTTTAACCATAAGAAAAGTCAGATGTCTGGGTGATGACGCCTTTACATGCCTTAGGTAATGTGTTTTACTACTTTGCCAGTAAAACCTTTTTGCATTTTTCTAAGCTTCTATTTACACTGACTTGTTTGTGGAGCGATCCTACTGTTGGTATTATCTAATTTGCATTTCAAGCTGGTGAATCTGTTATTCGACCTTGTGATTTAGTGATTTGTATCATTTTTCATTTATACTCTCAAACTTGTTTTTTTTTAATCATAAATCTTCTCATAAAAGTTTGATTAGTGCTCGTTCATTTGTGATTCAAACTTGTGCGTTTTTTTTATCAAACTTGTACAGTTGTGACCCTTTCTCCTAACTGTATACTCGTAAAACTGTTTCTTACTTTTATACTTCTAAGTTGTATATTTTTTTTTATTAAATTTCTGTAGCTAGGCATAATCTGTGTAATGTCACCAATGAAACAGCAACTAACAAGACTTAGACAACAATTATTTTTATTTTGTATACACAGAGTGTATACAAAATGTAATTTTGTTTTGTAAAGCTTTCATGACATGTGAGGGGTTATTTATGATGTTACGGGCTTTGGACATGCAGCGCTGGGATGAAATGTCTTTAATGGAGGGAAGAGGAGCCCCCATGATCTTCTCTGCTGTTCTCATCACTCTTCTCACCTCCTTCCAGTCTGAGGCGCTGCAGCCTCCACACCACACAGTGGGACAGCTGGTCAGAACGCTCTCTATGGTGCTGCTGTAGAAGGTGGTGAGGATGGGTGGGGGCAGGTGGGCTCTCCTCATCCTCCGCAGGAAGTACATGTGCTTTTGTGCCCTTTTGACCAGTGAGGTGGTGTTTACATTCCAGGTGAGGGTGTCTGTGATGTGCACCCCCAGGAATCTGGTGCTGTTGACCACCTCTACAGCTGAGCTGTTGATGAGCAGTGGAGTGTGGTTAGGATGGTTCTTCCTGAAGTCCAAGATGATCTCCTTCTTCTCCACATTTAGGATCAGGCTGTTATCTTTGCTCCACCAGCTGCTCCACCTCCTCTCTGTAGTCCAGGTCGTTGTTGTCTCTGATGAGGCCCACCACCTGGGTGTCGTCTGCAAACTTCACGATGTGATTGGTGGTGAACCTGGGGACGCAGTCATGTGTCATCAGGGTGAACAGCAGGGGGCTCAGGACGCAGCCCTGAGGGGAGCCTGTGCTTAGACTGATGACATCAGAGGTGTTCTGTCCGACCCGGACTGACTGATTTCTGTTGGTGAGGAAGTCTAGCAGCCAATAGCAGAGGGGTGTATTGAATCCCAGCTGTTCCAGTTTGCCCATCAGATGCTGTGGGATGATGGTGTTGAAAGCTGAACTGAAGTCCAGGAACAGCATCCGCACGTGGGTGTTCTTCTCCTCCAGGTGTGCTAGGCTCAGGTGGAGAGCAGCAGAGATTGCGTCCTCAGTGGTGCAGTTCCGTCGGTAGGCGAGCTGGAACAGGTCAAATGTTCTTTAACCAGCCTTTCAAAGCACTTCATCATGATTGGAGTCAGTGCGATAGGTTGGTAATCATTGAGTGAGGTGACCTGAGTCTTCTTTGGAACCAGAATGATGGTGGCAGACTTAAAGCATGCTGGCACGATGGATTGGTCCAGCGAGGTGTTAAAAATGTCTGTGAGGACACTAGTCAGCTGACCTGCATACTCTTTGTAGAAATCTAGAAAGCATAAATAGCATTATCTCCTTCAGGGTTATTTTGCTTAATTAATGTGTTACAAAAATCAGTTTGCATGTATTTAAGTTCAGTTGGAAAAAATAGAACCACAAGGTAAGAAATCAGACAGAAAAGTGGGAACTGGTCCAGACTCTCCAGTAAAACATTAGAATCCTCTAAGCCAAGCAGTTTTCCTAGAGGAAAGGCAGACTTCCAGGAGGTGTTGCGGCTGTGGACCTCCTCAGAGGGCTCTGATGTGTCATGGCTGCATTCTGTGGCTCCTCAGCGTGAAACTAATGCTGCCTGCAAACCCAGGGTGGGGTTTCATTTCTAAATTGTAGTGGAACTTCCAACCAGCTTGTGGAGGTTTCTGCTGTTCAACGAAGGAACGCTCAAGTATTTGTTTTACACTTTGAGTTGTGAGGCTATGGTTCTGTTGTGGGCAGCCAGCCAGGAGGGAACAAAACGGCTGTTCTGGGTCTCAACATGATCTTCAGCTGATGTGCCATGATTGAACACAGCCTGCATGCCTGTAGCCAGATGACCTGCACCCATGCAAATCAACCAGTCTCCATAGTGTGGAAAGACTGGAGGAGATTTCTACGTTTTTGGCTCTGATCAGGGTCACGTCTCTGAAAAGGAGGAGCTGTGGGAGGAAGTTTGCTCCTATGCCAGATGGCTCTCAGCTGCTAGTTAGATTTCCCTTCATCAATCATTTTCACAAATCTCAATTCCACCAATTAGATTAACAAGCTCAGTGTGTGTGTGTGTGTGTGTGTTTGTGTGTTGGGGTTCCTCAGGGGCCTTGTGGAAAGAGAAAGGGCCAATCTCTTTAAGTCATTTCTCAAACATGTAGGAATACCCCTTTTTATAGTTGCTGATAGGAAGTGTGTTCCGTCTTCATTAGAAGCATTCTGAGTTAGGCTCTGGGTGGAGAGCATGATCCCTGGCTGATAAAGGATAGCACAACTTTACAAATTTGCACAGACTGTAGCTATATGCCTGTTTTATTGCTTTATTCCAGTATATCACCCAAACACTGCCTGCATATACTCGTATATGTTTGAGTGCAGCGTGCAAACGTCTGCCCTGCCGTCTCTGGAATCGGCTTTGTAGTTGAAAATGGATGCCCCTGTAATCTGCCTGGGGAGAGTAGTGCTGTTAGTAATTACAGGCTCCTTTGCTAGTCTGCCATGACACAAAGATGCACACATAAGCCCAAGATTTCATAACAGGCACTTCATAGCTACAATCAGTTAATTGCAGTTGTTATGATCTCCTGTAAGGGCGGGTTTAAATGCGGCTTTGAAGCTGTGAGATCTGTGCGTTTCATTGATTGGCTGATCTGGAGTCTTTAGGAGATGTTTGCAAAAAAAGGTTTAAACTACACTGAAACATCTTAAATGTTTTATTCTCCTCTGTTTTTCACTTATAACCCCAATAGATGACATACAGTAGGAAAGATTATTTCATTTAGCAGTCTAATTCAGTAAGTGAATTGCATGTAGATAAATTGATGTTTTCAAACTTTGATTTTCCATCTTTAACCAAATAAAAAATAATTTAACCCTCTATAGGGCAGTTTTATGTCAGTTTTATGTTGCAAAAAAAGGTTAACCTTTGCAAATGCAGATCTATTTCAGCACATCATATTGGTTAATATAGCAGACAGACAAGCTAACTCTTTATCCAAAAATAAACAGAATTTAATTAACTATTTTTTTTGTGTATAAGTTAGGGATTCCTTTTGGTAGAAATTAAAGAATGTTTAGTTTCACCGATTGTAAGCTGGAAGAAATAGAATCTTGATTGTTAGACAGAAGAAGGATTTTTACCAGAGGATGATCAGCCGCATATAGTTTATTAAGTAGTGAGAGCAGGAAGAGCCATACTGCTGAGAGCGAACCATCAGCGCACGTGCAAAGACGCATTTCTGCACAAGCACATATGGAAGATCAGAGCAGTTTGTCAGAGTTCAGTGCGCTGTTCCGGACCATTCCGTATAATTTTCTCGGACTCTGCCGCCGCTGCTGATGCCATGATCAAACTGTGCCGCCGCAGCATTGGCAGCGCTGCGTAGCAGGTGGGCGGCAGGATCAAACGGGACGCAGCTGCACGGCTGATACTGTTTAGCAGATTACAGCACAATGATGCATTTAAAACATCTGACCAACGACCCGCTAATTTTTGTCTTGTCTCATTGACTAAAACTAAAACCTATGATGAGTCATGTTTCCATCATCAAAGATCCAAGTTTAGCTCGTCAGTGTTCGTTATTGGCATAAAAAAAGGAAATGATTTCATCATCCTCATTGCTGAAGAAAACAACACTGCTGGGAATCCCGTTCAACGGCGGCCTCTGGCCCAGTCGCCTCTTCGGGGGTTTCCGCTAATGTTTGCGGCGGCTGGAAGGCGTTTTTCACCCACATAATCCAAACTGCAGAAACCAGGATAATAGAATGAATGTTTTGCTGGCAGGTTTTGACATTTTAAGTTAATTTAGGTGATAATAAACTTTTTCAGAGGGGTGATCATAGCGCTCCGTATCAGCGCTGCTGTGTCTGTCTCCCTGCCAGCTTCTCTCATAGGTTCATGTGGCACCTCCAGCAGCAAAAGTTAAATTTTTCCAACTCTTGCAGCTGCCACTTCTGAAGCGTGTGTCTCACATGTCAGATGCTCAGAAGCTCATGAAGGGCCGATCAAAACGCGCTGCGGGACCGTTTGCTGCACCTTGATGCGTGTCAACCATTGACCTTGCATGTAAACTAGCTGCTTCTGCTGCGTCTGCTGCTTGCAGTCTGAACGTAGCATAAGGTGCAACTAATACGTCAAGAATTCTGCTGGTATTAAGATCAATTAGTTTGTAAATACAGAACATCCATTCATGTGTTGTGGTTTTCAGTAAAAAGGATACTTTAAGTAGAAATTAAGAGTCACAGATTGTAAAGGATGCATCAAATAATTCTGATACTGGTCTAATCGTATTTTTCTCTCTCTCTGTAGCAAACTGCTTCCCTTCCTGCCAGAATGGGGGAATGTGCCTGAGGCCTCAGCTCTGCGTCTGCAAACCAGGCTCAAAGGGGAAGGCATGTGAACAGACCACGGTGGCGGTGCCCTCCAATCCGGTGATTCCTGGGAGAGAAACCAACGGCGGCCACACTAATGGAAACAACGTGGTACCGCAGAGGCCCATACCTCAGCAGGTGCCCATACCTCAGCAGGCGCCCCCTAATGGTTACACCTCTTCCAATAACTTGGCCCACATGAAGCTAACGGTCAAGGCAGCCCCCCAGTTTGTGAGACCCCATTATATCCAGCAACATATCCAGCAGCAGTAAGTACTGGCCTTTGGTTTACGCTTTACTCTGTCTTGTTTGCAATTAAACTTTTAAATCAAGCTCTAAAAGTTACTTTGAAAGCTGCTTTGTCTCTAAAGTCAATATATTTTTTATTTAAACTATGGACCAAATGAGATTTCTCTGGCTCAAGGAAGAGCAGCGGAGACGAAGCTTTGGTAAATCTGACAGCAGATCTGGGTGAAAAGGACAAGGCTCCGACCCTCTATATAACGAACAGCAAATCATCGTCCTTGGTAAAATCCAGGTTCACTATAGTTTTCCTTGACAAAAAGCATCGGCAAGCCGATGGAAGCTCCTCTGATTTGATGGATAACGTAGAACATTTGGTGGCGAGCCAGATCACAATTGGATTTGGGAATTTTTTAAAGGAAAAGTCAGGTCATATGCAGAACTCAAACTTCTGAAAGTACTTTAAATATGAAATTATTACATCCTGTTCAATAAATGATACGTTTTTTAAAAAAAAATTGAGAGTATCTTCATTTGAATGTGCTTTACTTGAAGGAATCCATGTTTGTCAAAGAACACTACTGCCACCTACTGGTTTGTGACGTCACGGTACGGTATCGGCTGTTGATCAAGTCCCAGTGCTGCATCTGGTGTTTGTCACAACGCTCTATTATCCAAGTCATCTTAAAAACATTCTTCTTCCAAATGTTGGCTACATATTACGGGTTTTTTCTCTGGCCAGAAGTTCGATGGCAAATCCTCCCTCTTCAAGTTGGTGATCCAACGACGAACCCGTCCGTGGAGGATCAGGAATCGTTTCCATACAGAAAGCCCATATTTATATCTTCAGCTACCACAGTATATATGTCATATTGAATAATACTACTCCTTGATACTTCAGCAATAGTATCAAGGTTTTACTTTATTGTATCTCTTATACTATATACGTTGGTTGTGCTGATCTTGTGCCGTGCTTCTCTACTTGTGAAAGTAGAATCTTTTGGGCCCGTACAATTATTCTTGTTGCCATATTGCCAGACAGGAAAGCTGAAAAATAAGTTTTTCTCCCACTTCTACCCGATGTATTCCAACATCCAGCTGCCATGCACGTGGGCATTGTCAGTTTCACTATAGCTCTGGTGAACTTCAATGGTGAAGTCCTCTGGAAATCTTCAATAATTGTTGTTGATTGCAGATGTGTCTAGTAGTTCCCATTGATTTTAAAGCGGGGAGAATGGCGCTAGGCTTACCGCACCGTGACGCCACTGCTGGAAGATGGCAGGAGGGAGGGGTTACTATATTTGGGCAAAAATGGCTGCTCCTGGACTAAGTAAATGTGACGAAAATCAAAAATGATTACTTTTTAATTTTGTCATGTAATTCATGAAATCATTGCGAAGTATTAGTTTTAAGTATAAATAATGATCCACTGATTATTCCTTGCTTACCGGACCTTTCCTTTAAATATGTTACCTCTTGCTGTCATGGAGCATAATCCTTAGATTCCAGCATGATGTGTCCAGAAGGATTGTAAATACTACAGATAGCAAGGCAGTCTCACATCCGGTCCAGCAAGACATGAAGAGCCCTTTCTCAGAGAATACAGGATGCATGTCAACAGGCTGCAGCTGACGTCTCTTTCTGGGCTCGATTTATAAAAGGCTTGTCTGTGTCCCTGAAACCTGACTCCACTCTGAGCAGTATGTTAATGTGCACCATTAGGCCAGAAGTGAAAGATAACAGCTGCTGTTCAGTTAATAGTTTTGCATTATTGAAATAAGGAGTTCTGTTTGTTTTCAGATTGGAGAAGTGGATTTAATTTTTATTCAACACGTTTAATTTGATTCAGTAAAAAATTCCGATCTTTTGGCTCATTTGTCTCCGGTTCTTTATCCTGTTCCAAAGCTAGCCACAGTTTTTCATCATCTTCTTTCCAGACAATTAGGAGAAACAAAGTATGTTTTACTGAATTATGAATTTTACATTTTTTCCTTCAGTTTCAATAAGGATATTATAGTTCTTATTAAAAAAAATAAACAAAGAAAAATTTGGTTTGGCTGCAGATGTTCTGCAGAAAACATTTGGACGATGTTTTAATCAAACCAACATTTGTTTTCATAAGGTTATTTCTGTAAAAATAGTTAAAATAAAATAAAACTGACAATATGCTGGTCCTGTCACTATGCTTATGCCTGATGCTGCCTCCTGGCTACTTGGCCACAGGGACTTCCTTTGGGCTGATTCTCCAGTGGGCAATACTTACACCTGGGAGTTTGTGGGATCTAATGCCACTCTGGCCCTCTGTTGCATATTTGCCACAAAACTGCCATCCATCCTATACTCCTTGTTGCAGGTCCTCAGTCCATTGCATCATTAATTCACTTAAATTCTTACCTCGGTGCTTTAATTCCTAACGGATAGTGGGATAGATTGATCGTTCAATTCAATTCAGTTTATTTATATAGCGCCAATTCACAACACGTCATCTCAAGGTACTTTGAAGTTCACCAGATCACCCAGTCAAATTGATTCAAAGTTTTCTATCTAAGGGAAACCAGTCTGTTGCATTGAATCATTGACTCTTCAGCAATCCCTCACACTAAGCATGCTTGTAGTAACAGTGGAGAGAAAAAAACTCCCTTTTAACAGGAAGAAATCTCCAGCAGAACCAGGCTCAGTGTGAGCAGCCATCTGCTGAGGTTGACTGGGGTTCAAGGAGACAGAAGCAGAGATAGAAAAAGAAGAAGAGATACAAAAAGCAACTGTCAACCAGCTCCACAGGCGGCCCCGTCCAGGAAACACACAGCCAGGCAGACGAGCTCCCATGTCAGAGAATGAAGAGAGCACATCTGGTGCATAGCGGCCACTACAGTGGACAGCTGTTTAGAAGTAATTGTTTCCTAAATGTCCTTAGAATGCTCTCTACTGCTCCCCTCCACTGAGGTTAATTTAGTGGCAAGTTGTTGTAACTACAAGTTATTGTAATCGGAGTCCAAGATGGCCAGCAGACAGACACCCTCAATGACCACTCCTGCAATATCCTCTCAATCCTTCTAAACGAGGAGAATCCTAGAGCTAAAAAANAATGACCACTCCTGCAATATCCTCTCAATCCTTCTAAACGAGGAGAATCCTAGAGCTAAAAAATATGCTGATATGCAGGAGTATCTAGGTAACAATATTATTAACCTGGTTTGGAAAATTTTATTTCACAAAAGTAAGAAAATGCGATTAACCATGTTTCCAACAGAGTGTAAATCATGCATTGCTGACTATATTTATAACATGAGTTATGTAGTTGATTTATCTTTCATTATGACTTTTTTCCTTGCAATTAAATTCATTTTGAGTATGTCTGTTAGTTTTAAAATATTTTTTTAATGCAGATCATTTTTAGTTTTTGTTAGTAAAATTATAATTTCCTCATACTTTTAGACCACAAATGCAACAAAGGATAAGGAACACTAAAGAATAGTCGAGGAAATCCCCTCTGACTCCTCTGGTGAGCGGCTGCCAGAAAACACTAGAAATATTGGAGATACGGATGATGAAGGAGATGCAGACAGTCAGGATGATGTAAGTCAAGATGATGAGGGCCAGGATGATGAAGAACAGGATGTAGAGGGATGTCAACAAGATGAGGGAGCTGAGGAAAATGTCCACATGGTGCTTGCTTTTATGTCTGGAAAGTCCAAGACAATAAATTTGATGGAGACTTGCCACTTGCCAAGGAGAGTAGATCTTGATGGAAGAGAACCATTTGATTTTTTTTATGTATTTATTCCCTTTAGATCTCATAGAAGGGATTATGCATAACACCAGCAGGTAAGCGCTGCAGAAAGGGAAAGAAAATCTTGCAGTGACAAACGAAGAAATTTTAATTTTTCTAGGGATCGACATGGTCAAAGGGTACATTACATTACACAGGTGTACTGGTCCAGTGAGGTTGGCCTTCGTCTTGGAATAATTGCAGATGCTATATCTGTAACCAGATATGAGCAAATTCTGCGTTATCTGCACTTTGTGAATAACTATACCCAGCAGCCAGCAAACACAGACAGGCTCTTCAAAATAGCACCAGTGCTAAGTACTCTTCAGAAAACATTCCTGATGGCAGCAAA